ACGAGGCCGCGTCACGAGGCCTGTCCTACAACAGAACGTGTCCCAGTCTCCAGGCCATGGTCACCCTGTCTTCGCCCCCCTAATGGCCGCAGCGCCATTTCTTACCAGGTGACCCCCATTCACCTCCCCACCAAGGAGCTTCCAATCTGGAAAAAGGCTGCCATGTGAGCCTGCTGAGCAAAGGGTACATGGCTTCCAACAGAGCTTCAGGCCAGACAAGGGGACCTTCCTCAATCCTTCCTACACAGAAAAGAAACTGAGATCATAAATTATCGAGCCCAGGGAGAGAACACATCCTTTCTCCCGGATTCAAACTTGCACACATTTGGCAAAGTACGAATGGATAAGGGATCTAAGTACCCCAGAAACATTCCCACTGGGGAAACTAAAATCCAACCCCCGACACAGAAATACGAAAGAACCAATGTGCAGAGAGCCTTCTCCGTGGCATCTCCATCCCTACTGAGGGACAGAGATGTCTGACCGCCAAGCAGCCTGTGCGAAGACCCGAACTACGTCGGCAGTGAGGTCTGAATTGGATGAGGGTGTGCGAGCAAACGTGACCGAATCCTTCCTCACTGCGGAGACCACGCCGAGCCCCCTGTGGACGTGCGTCTGTGATGTCATAGCCCGCCCTTGAGCTGGAGGACCCCCTGTGCGCAGTGAGGTTTCTCAGGGAGAACCCTGCCTCGCGCTTCGGATTCCCACCCAGCGCGGACGCAGTCACTCACCGAAGACTCCCAGAGACAGAGACGAGGTATTTTTAGAGCCGATTCAACACCGATGTGTATCTCCCTGTGGGAGTGTGTTCTTAATTAGGTCAAGTGCACTTGTGCGGTATTTCTCCCCGCTGCGGGGCAGAGAGGACTCTTAGACTTTCTTTGGTGTTAAAGCATCGCGGTTGCAAATACCATAGCCTGGGGTAGTGCTGCTCCTTCAAAGTGGCCTTTCCTCTCACAACCCGGGCAGGTGGCGCCTCATCATCGGGGCACAGAAATGCTCAGAGGGTAGCCAGGGAGTTTAACTCACTTCCAATATCTCACTTTAAAAGAAACGAGGTGCCCTGGCCGGTTTGGCTCCGCAGTGAGAACGTCGGCCTGCGGTCCGGAGAGTCCTGGGTTCGGTTCCCGCTAAGGGCATGTACCTCGGTTGCAGTTTGTCCCGGCCCTGGTTGGGTTGTGCAGGTGGCAACCACTCGATGTGTCCCTTTCACATCGATGCTTCTCTCTTTCTCTCCCTCCCACTCCATCTGAACAAGAAATGGGAAAATGTCCTTGGGTGAGGATTAAAAAGAAATAAAAGAAGAAATAAAAGAAATGAGGCTGGTTGAGCATAGGAATGCCCTTCGTTCTGGGTCTTAACAGGGATATGATGTTCTGGGTTCCAGGCTGCCCCCAGGGGGACGGGGCGGGGAAGGTGGAGCCCCAGGACGGTGCCCTGGCTGTGACCCCTGCCTGTCTCTGAGCACTGCTGACCTATCTGCAGGCTGTGTGCGCGCCCCGAATATTTGCACAGTGGTCACGGATTGTCTTGGTGTAAACGGGAACTCGGTCATTTTTAGTTTAGATCTGGAAGTGTCTCCTTCTGGACAAGCTTTGGTCCACTGGTGCATTTCTTGGAAAAGGGGTGCTCTCGTGGCTGGCACGGTTTAAAAAGCATTTGAAGTTTTCTGACTGTGTGTTAAATCTTATCAGATTTTCCCAGGTATATAACTTCGCAATAAAACCAGCCTTTGAGCTTCCTGCGCGCAAAGGGCTAGTGATAAACATCTCGAAATAGCTAAAAGCAGCAAGAGATGCAGAAGGTATTGAAATAGACTCAAAGTTACTTGGTTTCAGCGTCTCTAAATTATGGTGTTCTGGGAGGCAGGCAGTCCACACCAAAGCTTCTCCAGAGATCTCGTGTGAGTAAGCCTGGGAGGATTTAAGGATTTCTTTGTCTAAGGAATCTCCAATTTAAAAAGTCCCATTCTCCAAGTATGCCACGGTGTCTCAGAGTTTTCGCCCACCATAGTTCTGCCTGCAGTCTCGCGTGAAGGTTGGGTGTGGTCCTCCCAGTGTGAAGGAATGTCCCACGGAGGGTGCAGTTTCCCGAGATGGCTTCCAGGAGGGAAACTGGGCTTCTGAAAGACCTGATGTTCTCACCAGGTCCCGTGCTAGAGCCGAGACTGACGCCCGTGAGGGGCCGGGGACCACCCCAGCCCACAGGGACCTCCTTGGACATGGTGAGAACTAGGCCCCCCCATGCGACACAATGATTGAGCGCCTCTCTGTTCCAGGCACCAGGCTAGCTGCTTTCACGGGGGACCCCTCCTCGGCCCCCCCATGCTTCCATTTATCCAGCTGGGCTCCTGCTGAGCCATGTCCTCACATGCATTTGTCCTAGGGTGCTGGTAACTAACCCGTACGGTGCTATCACTGAGCCTGTTGGGGTGAGGGATTTGCACTTGACAGTTTCTGTAACTTGCCCAAGATCACAGGGCAGCCACGCAGTGGAAAGAGACTTCAAAGCCAGATGGGCTGGGTCCCCACGCCTGGCTCTAGCCCTGTGCTCTGTAAGCATCACCCGGGCCTTGCAGCAAGCCTGGGAGGCAGAGACGGTCACAGCTCTGAGGCACTGGAGTCACAGGCTGAGTCCCACCCAGGCAGCTGACACCTGGGAGGGGCGGGGCATAAATATAAGACAGAACAGGCAGAAAGCCCCTGCCCCCATGGGTGCTGGGTGCTCCCCTCTTCCTCGCTGCATTGCTTCCACCCTCGACAGGAGGTTTCACTGTGAAAATGAGGGGAGGCCACCTGCCCGCTCGCCCCCTTCTCGGACTCCACCTGGGAGAACGCGGCCCCTGGGGCAGAGGAGCCGGAACAGCGTTCCCGCCTCGGGACCAGTGAAACCCCGTGTTTGTGTCAAGTCTCCAGAAAGCACTGTGCTGCCTCTGCAGTTACTTGGGTTTCCTGCCAAATGATCTCCTGATAACGAAAACCCCAACCTCGCCTTGCGGGAAGCACCGTCTCGTCGGGAGATTTCCCAAACGCGCGCTGCTTTGCCAGGGCGGAAGCTGCTCGTCGTTTCTCTTTGCAATGAGAGGCCGAGGGGCAGGAGGAACGGCACCGGGGGCACGACACCGATCACCTCTGGTCCGGGCGGCATTCCTGCAGGGACACGTCATCGCAAGTTCAGGGCTGGGAGCCGGAGGCTCAAGAACCGACACAGCCCAAGGCAGCAGGTATCAGAGCTGGGGAATGAGCCCGGATGTTTCATCCCAAACCAAGCTTAGGGGGGCTCCTCGCTCCACGCCGGGCCGTCCCTGTGAGCGTGACCCAGAACGAGAGGCAGGCCTGCTCCCGCGAGTCCCAGCAAAGCCACCTGGGAAATTCCAGCAGGAACATTCAAAGGCACCAACAGGCCACCATCTGCCACACTGGTGTCCCTTTGAACACAGCGATGACGTCAGGGCAACAGCTTACGGGAACAACGGAACACCACAGGTGAGAGGGAGACTCGCCTTAACCTGCTGAGGGGGGCTTCCAGCGTTGTCTTTTCCAAACATTACCCGGGAAACCGAAGTGTCACCCCAGTCCTGCGTCCCTTGTGTCCTGAAAGACGCTTACAGAAACCACGTGGCCGGCAGCGAGCGAGGTGCTGGGTTTCCCGCCTGGGCCGGGCGCCGAGGAAGATGAATAATGAGCCAGTCTTCGAACGTGGCGTTTGCCTTCGGAAACCCGTGTCTTAAACAATTAGTGACAATAATCTCTGGGCCAGTGCTCAGAGCGTGGCGTGCACATGGCGTGTCCTCACGTTTGTGCAGAAGCAGCACTTTGCTACAGAGAGAGGCGGTTTGGGCTGTGCGTTTCCAGGCAGTTGGCGCTTCTCAGGTCTGCAAAGCTCCTGTTCCGTCTCCAGGAAACTTCCCGGGCTGTCCCAGGTACCCCGAACTCACGCCCAACAAGCCCGGACAGCCAAGGTTGGGGCCCAGTGACTTACAGAGGGTCCTCTTTTCGGGTGCATTTCCTTTCTCAGTTGAATGAAAAAGTGCATATTCTTTGTCTCTCTTTTTGGGGGGTGGGGAGGGTATCTCAATAAAATTCCCAAATCCTGCCATCAGACCTCCAGAGAGTTGCTGTGAGAACCCATCCCGGTCAGGGAGGAGGCAAAGGGAAGGGGAATTGCCAAGGAAAAGAATTTGATTTGCTGCAGGGGGGTCTTCACTGAGATCAAATGACTAAGATGCATATACGTCATTTGCAAAAGTGATGGAAGGCCCTAAACAAACTGCTGGATAACATTCTGGGCACAACACACCCGGTCCTGATGGGACCTGTCGTGATAGGAAGAGACAGGCATTCGAACGGGCATTTTTTAAATCATGTTTTCCACGTTACCTTTCACACCTAACCCTGCACCCCACCCTGCTCCCCGCCTCCCCCACCCCACCTAAATACAGCCTGGAAAGCTCCTTCGGATCCACACTCCCTGGGCTGAAACATTAATTACGGATGCCAGTGCCAGCTGGGGTCCTGACGGGCTGCGTGACCGTCCTCCGACGCTGGGGCACAGATGCGCTGGTTTCGCGGGGTGGCATCGCGCGCCGCCCCGCACAGCTGCCCAGAGGTGCTGTCGGACCCTGCCTGTCTCCCAGGACAAACACCGATTAAGCAGTCAGCACAAACTTTCCCCTTACAGCCTCCGACGTCGCCCTCGGGGCAGGCAGACACGGGCCGGCAGTTGCTGAATTGCGTATGAAAATCATCGTTTATTGTCGGTACAGCTGGAGGGTGAGCTCGGACTCCTGTTCTGGGCGGGCGGGATAAAGGAGCGATTCTTCTCTCGGAACAAATGAGCACAGTACACTATTGTAACCGAAGAAACAGGCACTATTTATGTATCGGAAAGCCTCGCTCCCAACAGGCAGCGCCCGCGGCCCGGAGGCCGGAGAAGCACCGGCGAGATGCTGCGGACCCATGATCAGGATGCTGAGGAGCGCGCCCTCCCCGCCCCCGCCGCTAGTTCAACAGGCAGGACTCGTAGGTGGGGACCATGTACTTGATGTTGATGAAGGCGTCCTCCCCTCCGTGGCGCTCGAAGGCCCCCAGGGTCTCCTGGATGAGGTCGCCGACGTTCTCCCTCTTCTGCTGGCTGTAGTCGATGCCGTCTCCCGAGTTCACTGTTTCGGGCAAACACACAAAGAGGCCCGTCAGCTCTCTGCTGGTCCCCGAGAGGCCCCACCCGGCCGGCCGTCCAGGCCCTGCCTCTGCGTGCTGGGCTGGGGACGCGGGCGCCGCTTTGCCCCGGGAACCCGCAGGGCTTTAGGAGCGGGGACAAGCGTGCGTGCGGAAGCACAGGGTCCCGGGCTGGGGCTGGTGAACATTCGTCTACACTAAGGAGAGGACGGCCCGAGTGGGAGTGAGGTCGTCAGGACCACGGCACCGTTCCCGAGTCAGGGGACGGGCGCTACAGGCCCTTGGGCCTTGAGCTCTTCCAATCCCAGAGTGGCACATGGAGAAGGGGCAGCCCAGCATCAGGTCGGGGTGTGGCCCAGGTGGCTAAATGGGGACACTCTGGAGGAGAATCCATCCCCGGTCTTTGTTGCTTTTGTACATACTTTTAGCTCCGTCCCCTCCAAGGGTCCCTAACCCACGCTCTCGCCTCTGGAGTCGGTCCTATCCCTCTGGTGCCGGGGGCTGGGGGCGTCCTTGCTGCTGGCTGACAGTGGGGGGCCTGCGGGTTTGGGAGTCGCTCTCAGTCCAGGCCGGCAGTCAGCCTGGGCCGGGTGCCTGGGCGACCCAACAAAGGCCCCCTCGAGGTGACCGCCGCAGCCACCTTGACACTGTGAGGGCAGCAAGTCCCAGGGCTGGCCGTCGGTGGCCTTGGGAGCCTACGTCGGAGGGTCTGTGCCCCACACAGCAAACTCCATCTCAAACCACGTGGGTCCGAAGTGTCTGGTTGCCCCAGCCTGCGAGGTACCCACGTCTGCCAAAAACAGGAGGACTTTGCTTAGGTCCCGAGGATGAAAACCCCATGATTTCCCCCCTGATAATAGTCATTACATGCGTTCCCGCTGCACGTCACTCAGAGATGTCCGAGGACGTCAACAGGACGTCCCAGGGAGCACGTCGTCACCGTGCCTCTGCTGACCTGACCCTCCGCTGTGACGAGAGCAAAGGGCAGCAGGAGGTCAAGAGGGCCAGCAACGGAGGCGGGGCGAGGAGGCGGGGCGAGGAGGCGGGGCGAGGAGCGCAGACACTTGCTTCAGCAGATAAACCGTCTATCCCGTGCACGTTTCAAATACTGCCCCAGAATGTTCATCTTGCTTGAAAATAATAGGAAGGGAAAAAATGGTATTTCAAGCCCTTTTCCCCCTAGTTTCTTTTTTGGGGGGGGGCATTTTAAAAAAGATTGAGTAATAGTTCAGACCAGAAATAAAAGTCACCATTACAATCCCAAACGGCATAGATAAGCAGTTCTTTGGCTCGGTTTCTTTCCAGAAACTTATGAGAGAGAGATCACTCTCTTCTGCACAGAGAAAATGAACGGGTCTCCTGATCCCTTCCTCTGGGTGGGGGTGAAGGCAGGCGGAGTTTGCAGAGGAAGACAGAGATGGTGAGTCTTACAGCTGGTTCTCATCCTAAACGAATCGAATGCGGCTCACGGAGCCACGGTGCTCAGGTGGGGTTTTCCCCCTCGTGGCGGATGGCTTTCTGCTCTCACGTGCAAGGCTGGGCTGAAATTCAAGTCTGAGCCTCAGAGTAGCTGGTCATCTAAAGTACCCGCAGATGAGAGTTACATAGAACACACACAAGGGGCCCTGCTTGACCAAAAGGGCTCACGCCAAATCGTTTTTGAGCCAAAGATAAATGTTTTAAAAACAGAAATGTAGACAAATACACACTTAAAGTAAGCAGGCTTGCCCTGGCCGGTTTGGCTCAGCGGTTAGAGCATCGGCCTGCGGTCTTGAGAGACCCGGGTTCGGGTCCCGCTAAGGGCACGTGCCTCGGTTGCAGTTTGTCCCCGGCCCTGGTCGGTTGTGCGGGTGGCAGCCACTCGATGTGTCCCTTTCACATCCATGTTTCTCTCTCTCTCTCTGTTCCTCTCTCTCCCTCCCACTCTACCTGAACAAAAAATGGAAAAATGTCCTCGGGTGAGGATAAAAAAATAAATAATAAATAAATAAATAAAGTAAGCAGGCTTTCTGGTTTTGTGTGTTTGTTTGCTTATTCTTCTCCTTTTAAAGATTCGCACGGTGGTCTGACAGTCCCTGTGCACAGGGAGGGCCACGTGGTACCAGTCCACTTGGGGGAACTTTCCAGTAGGGAGTCTTGGGGTTGAATCAGGAGAGAAGAAGAAGAAGATAGGTGTGTGTGTGTGGAGAGAAAAGATGTTAGGGAATAAAGTCCAAAAGAGGGCAGGACAAGCAACGGAGGCGTCCAAAGAAGGGGCAGGAAGGACAGGGACAGACAGTGTGTGTGACCAGGGAGATGGACGCTGGAGAGTGCATCTTTTAGAACACCCCAGCTTCCCAAGACTCCAGTCGGAGGGGCTGATCTTCAGGTACCGTCTCCCCAGATACATTTACAGGGAAGGTGGCGTGACCCCTGTGTGCACAGGACCGCCAAGCCCAGGGCACCAACCTCCTGGCGGGCACATGGGGAGTGTAACTGGTGACGGTGCTGAGTCCTGACGGGCTTGAACCAGCTCCCTATGGCCAAAGATACGCAAACCGATCGCTAGTAAATGGTGCCTTTTGTTGGCATGTTAGTCAAAAGGTCAAGAGCTGAACAGAGGGCGGGACATACTTTCCTGACGCGGGCAGAGGGGTTTGGAAAGGCTGCACACAAAGGAACGCTCCGTCCACCCGCCTCCCCCCACCTTCCAGAAGGCTGCCCTGACGAGCAATAATAACCTATTCTTACTTTTCGGAAAATATTTAACTGTGGGAGTGGGCCAACTATGTAGCTTTTTTCTTTCTCAACAGTGTATAAATTCAAGTGATAAAAAAGAACAGAGCAGAATAGAATTATTCAGAAAGTGAGTTGGAGTTGAAATATTCTGTGGTTGCGGAACACGCACCATGGGGGCAGGAAGGGACGACCAGAGGAGGAACACGGCCCGTCTCGGGCGTGCTGCGGCGACCACGGGACAGTTCAGTGTCAGACCACGTGCGGAGTGGGAGCCAGGGGTCTCCCGTTCAAAACCGCAGAAGGGTCATGTCTTCGTGGCTCTGAACCCAAGGGCTTCGCGGGAGCTCACCATTTTAAATTCCTACCCGCTGCGGGAAACATGCTGTGAGAATAGGGTGGTTTTTCAAAAAGCGTCATTTACAAATATCCATTCTGATTAGGAAGGTGACATTTCATTTAGGAAGCCAGGAGTCTGTTTTCTGTCCAGAGGCTAAAAGGACACATGGATGGTGGAACAGCTGTGTCTTATTGACAAGCAGACAAAGGGGCCCAGCGGGTCGGCAGGGGCGCGTTTCCGAAGGGAGCGGCGCAGAGCAGGAGGGGTCTGCGTGTCCCAGAGTCTCCCGGGCAGGAGGCACGCGACTGCCACTTGTGCGTGGCTCCTGGTTGGGAATGATCTGAAGTGTGCTCGGGATTTGGAACGCTGACGTTGGTTTTGATCACGTTGGTTTTGATCACGTGGGTTCGTGTAATGCAGGTGAGCTCTTCCCTCCTGACCCTCTAACCGGCCGAGCCTGGAGGCTGTCTGTTTCCAGGTGCCATCTCGGCCCAGAGTGGGACGTGTTCCTCACCCCCTCTCGAGTCCGGCGGTGGCATCGCCCTGGGGCACGGGCTCAGCTGGTGACTGGGAAGTAGCTGCCATCACACCTTGTCACCAAGGGCTACCGCCACGGGAGGGTTCACGAGACCCGCGGATGTCCGCTAAGCAGGGACACGGGCCGGCAGCGCACACGACACACTGGGGTTTTGATGAAATGTCCTCTGAGCATTTGTGTAACCTCTAGACTGTGCGGAAGCTCTTATTCTTTTTCTTTTTTTTTAAGTTATTACTGTTAAAGGAAAAAACAAAAAGAAAAAGGGACCATTTGGGTGGGCGGAACAAGGCCTTCCCGCATGAGTGCCGGTCGCTTCCCCCGCTGAGGAGCACCTTTGGCACCCAGCACCGTCGTGTGACATGGTGCCCTCCCTGTAGGCACTGCAGGGTAACACCACCAGAAGGGCAGCTCGTCATGTAACTGGGGACGCCTCACTGGCCGCCCTCCCTGCAGGACACAGTGGTCGCCTACACACGCACCACGCAATAGGACGAGTGCGCTCTGAGTCAGAGCTTCGAGGGGGGGGCCCGCCCGCACTGCCTTGTCACCTCCGGCACCTGCGTCCGGAGACGACACTGCGTGGGTTTCAGGCGGCTCTCGGTCCTCGTATCGCGGGGACAGGAAGAGCAGTAAAAATTCCTGGGTGGCCACGGGGAGCCTCGAGGGGAGTCCGACTCCAATGTGGACGGTCCGGTTCTCACCCTCTGCGCCCCACGTATGTGCTTAGATGTGCTGACACGGACGGCAATTCTCAAAGTGGTCACTTGGACGTGAAACACCACTCGGCAGCAGACGTCTAAAGCACCTGAGCGCTGACTTGAGGTTGCTTCTTCCACATACCTGACGTATCATTCCCTGGGCTCCAGCGGATGAAATACTTGGTGACGCCTACCTATCCTGTCAGGTCCTGGCTGAGAGGGTGACAGTCAGGATTTCGGGAAAAGGGGTGCTGCCGTCCATCTTGCAAACCTCCCAGAGGAAGCTCAGCCTTGCCCCAGGCACCGCGGGACCCACGGAGAAGGGCAGGGCCGCAGGAGGGAGCTGAGCACACCCTCAGCTGCCAGCCCGGAACTGCTCACAACCGGGGTGCTGCCGGATGCCCACGAACCCCGCTTTCTAAAGAAGCTCAGGGAGCTAGGAGTCTATTTTAGGAAGCCGGGAGCCTCGCTTGGGGAGCTCAGTGAAGAAGCGCCCGAGTGAATCAGGAACCGAGAGCGATGACTCAGAGGATGTCCAGATGACCCGACAGAACGCCAGAACACTAACGTTTGGAGGCTCCAACCGTGCTCACCAGGCCCAGCAGCCATGTTCCCGTTAGTCTGCAGTGGACAGTGGTACTTTAAATAACTTGGGCATTTGCCAGCACCAATAGCCACAGTCGCCTTTGGCAG